ATTTCTTGAAAGCCTATCACAAGATCATGCCAAGCTTCTTGAAAGTGGCGATGAATACAATGTCATCATCGAAGTGGGAGAAGCGCCGCTTAGCCAATCATATAAAACCCATTCGGTTATTTTGTGTTATAGGTGCCCATTCTTGTATAAATCACTACGGGATATTCCACACAATGGAAATAATGTTAAAATTCTTAACAAAAAACATGTTTCTACCAAAGTATTCGATATCATCATCAAGTGAGTTTATTACTGGAATGTTTATGCTTGGCCACATTTTGTCAAGTCACTCAAAATTAACATTTATTGATCATTTCCAAGATACATTTATCGAGGCATTGTAAATTTAGAGGAAGTGGAGGTTTCAATTGTCTTCGAACTTCTCTTGACTTCTAAGGAATTCGAAATTTTCGAATTGACCACTGTTCTCGAATCCTACCTTATTGAAAGTCAACCTTCTTGGTTACGCCTCAATTTCTCTAAAGTTATCAAGACAGCGTTCGAATTTGATGAGTTTCAAGATCTTCAACAATTTTGCAATGACATCATTATCAAATATCCAAACATGATATTCGACTCGGATGGTTTCAAAAACTTACCAGAAAACATTTTGATATCCATCATTAGACGAGATGATTTACAGCTTGAAGAACCGGCGATTTGGGAATATGTAATCAAGTGGGGAATCGCGCAGAATCCAAATTTACCACAGGACATTGGACAGTGGTCTGACAAGGATTTCGAAACTTTGAAAATTATACTCCAACAATGTTTACCGCATATCCGATATTTTCAAATTTCCGGACAAGAAATATTTGTTAAAATTCAACCTTACTATAAAATTCTTGAACCTAAACTATGGTCAGATATATTAAGCTGGAATCTAGCACCAACCTTACCAATCTCTTCAACAATCTTACCCACTCGCATCAAGTTAGCCGACGGACGACCCAACAGGGAAACGGGTAATCAGAAAAAAATGTCAAATTCGGTTATTATCAGTGAAGAGCATGCGGCGGAAATATCTTCTTGGGTGGTTAGAGGGATCCCCCAAAACCCGTACAAATTTAAATTACTTTTAAGAGGAAGTAAAGATGGTTTTGGTATTAGCACATTCTGGAATGCTGTACACCAAAAACCAAAGGTGGTAGTCATCTTCAAAGTCAAGGGAACTGATGAAATCATCGGAGGATATAACCCAATTGGTTGGGACAAAAATTTTTCCCCAAGATGGCTGAAGACAGAGGATAGTTTTATCTTTTCTCTAAAAAAGGAAAACAACGGCTCGAAAAATTCTATTCTTAGTCGGGTGAAAAACACTGACCATGCAATCGATAATTCACCCGGATACTGTATACGCTTTGGGACCACCGATTTCTACTACAGGGATCCAACCTACAAAAATGAAATGAGAAGGTTTATTTGTAAACAAACTTCATACGAGATCCGCATTCGAGACACGACTGATGAATTTTC